TACCCCGCTGAACAGTCACTCCACATGACTTCCTCGTACACCAACAAGCGCATCAACACCTCTTCTTTGTGAAGTTTTTTACTGAATTTACTGAAAGGAGCAATTTAACAAGTAATCTTTAAGCAAAAACCAAAACCGACTTCAAATCTCATATAAAAATTTAGGAGTACCGTTAATTTTTTCATGATCCATTGATCGGATCTGAACCAGATTAGTATGGGACCAGCTCTGAGACACCACCTTTCCGACGTGGTTCAAAGTTATGCGGCAACATACGTAAAAAAAATAAATATTCCGATGAACTGATAACCTCTTCCTTTTTTTGAAGTCGGTTAAAAATATAATTTAGAGCTTTTGCTCTTCATCATTCATGATCAAATTTACTCACAAAATAATTAAATGCTTGTCTAATCGCACATCTATCACGGCCCCACCAACAACTGACAGGGTAACATGACACAATGCCAAATTCATTAATGCGCTCGCACTTCATATTCTTGTATATATATGTAGGTGACATTAGTACATAGTGTGTATGTCTGTATTTTACAACGCAGCCCGAAACAAAAACATTCACAATTGGGGTGTTCACAGTTCGTTCCAAATTGTGTCTGAAAATGTAGACGTCTACATTTTGAGACATCTTTAGCATCAAACTGTGAGCACCCCTTTCTAGCAGTCGTCGCAAAATCGTCTCAAAACTTTGCTGGTGTTGCCAGACATTTCTTCCTTGCGTGCATTTTTTATGTCGCCTTTCGATTTTGTTTCCGAAAAATTGAAATTATTTAACTTAATTACCAATTCGTAATATTTGTTATTTCTTTTCCTTGATTTGTTTCTTTTCATCAGAAATTGCGCTCAAATTAAATGCAAATACAAAAAACGTGCCCAATAAATAAAAAAAAATGTGATTAGTATTGCCATAATGCAACCCTGCTGCGAGGTTGCAAAATGTAGACGCGTAAAAAACATACCTTTGAGTGTGACAAAATGTAGACGGCGTCGTTTTCCAATTTTGTATGGGAAACAACAACACCACAGATTTTACGGTTAGAAAACGTCTTAAAATGTAGACGTCTACATTTTGAGACACTATTTGGAACGAACTGTGAACACCCCAAATGTAATATTTTTCTGCTTCTATTTTACATAGTCGTTGCGCCTGTCACTCAGCATCTAACAAGCCGATCAAATTGAAAGGCCACACACGCGCCTCAATGACAATCAGCAGCCACCACAAATACTTACCTCGCAAAGATCAACAAAACTAAAGAGAAAAAAACCAACAGTGCAAAGAGGATCAGCTTAAAAATAAACGAGACGATGACGACAACAGGTCGTTGGTACAACAAGAAAGCGCAAAAAAGAATAATAAACACACGAAACATACAAATGCAAAGCAGATCTTTGGAGCAGCTTCTGTCGAACAAACCAGCCAGACATGCAGCGAAAGCGCTCCACTCGCCGCACCACCGACTGCAATAAATTCGCTCATCATTCACAAGATCATTGCACAGCAGCTCCGGCTGCAGCAACACTACAGAGCAACTGCTGCCACTCATTGCTGAATGTTCAAACCAGTACCTACAATGAAGTTGCTAAGATTGAATGGGGAGGAGAGGACGAGGAGTAGCGTGGAGCACAGAGTGGGACAAAAGCGGATCAGCGCTAAAATTAAATACGCATCAATGAAAGTGCTGCTGATGTTGCGACAATGCGCCTGTATGGCTAGTCAGAGAAATGATTGCTGCAGGCAATGCCAGGCGGAAAAGGTGAATAGCTAAACATAAGCCTGTATGTAAATAGATTTGTAAGTGAAATTTGTTTGACTTATCGGCGATCAACTTAAGTGGCAACCGTGTCGTGCGCTTCATGTTTATTCACACGCATACATACATACATATGTATGTCACACTATGCAACACGATCATCAGAATGCATACAATATGTGGCAATTTTAACAAAATACTCACGCGTCATTGCTACCGCTTATTTGTGTTGCACATCATGTTTGTTAGTGGCAAAGTGTCAACGTTGACAATGTTAAATGTCACAATTTGACAGATTTTGCGGTTACAACTCATCTTCTTCATCATTGCTTAGGCAAATTTTGTGAATATATTGGTTGATTGTTAACGCTGAATCCGCTGGATATATTTCACTGAAATTTGACGCACAGATAAGTAGGTTATTGCCTGGAATAACATATGGTTTCCAAAGTATTTAGCACCGATTGATAGAAGATATGCGACCGGAGTACTGGGCAGGAGTACTTGGGCCAATATTCCATAAAACTCTGTCAATGGGCCTATATTCCAGGCGGAAGTTCTCGAAATATAAAACTGTATCTTCGTAGAAGTGTTTGGCCGAGCTTCTCCTCCGATTTATGGCGTGCGCCTTGATGTTGTCACACAAAGCGGAGGGACCTACAGTTTTACGCAGACTCCGAACGGAAGGAGAAGCTCGCCAAACACTAACATATGTGTGAGCGCCAATCTATTATTATATTATTATTCTCTTCGTAGAAGGCCAAATGTGCCCAGAGTAAATATTAGGCAGATAGTCAGGCAGCGTTGAAGGCCTTAGACTCTTAACGGCATCAAGGCTTGTGGACAGCAGTAAAACTTGCCTGAACCACCTGGGAGCCCGCAATGGCGTAAACGCGGTGGTGGATTCCGGGACATGAAGGATTTGATGGCAACGTAAGGGCTGACTGTCTCACAAAGCGCTCGCATGATTCCGAGCCTTTCTGCGGTACACCTCAAGGATGCACTCCCAGAACTACCGAAGAGCTGGGAAGTATCCTAGGTTGCTGCTCACTGGCACAAGTCAAAGAGAATGAGGAAATTAAAGAAATTAATGACTCCCTACATAAGGAAAAACTCCTTGAACTTAGCCGAGAGGGCCTTAGAACCCTTGCTGGCTACCTGACAGCACACTGCAAGTTAAGGTAGCATTTGAACAAAATTGGGCTTTCAACAGAGACGGACTGCAGGTTTTGTGGGCTGGCGGAGGATACCTCAGAGCATATTCTTTGTGACTGTGATACACCTTGGTGAATGAATGTTTTTTCCATCAAAAATTTGGAACATAGCACCCTACAAAATGCTTAACTTCTTAAATAGCCTACCGTTGGAGTGTTTACAATTAGGGTTCAGGACAATAGATCTTCTTAGGTCGCAGCGCGAGTATTCCCGAAGTCACAATAACAATAACATATGGGATATTCTTCGAAGAGAGTTGCCCCCTTCTCAAACGTAAAAATAAATTAATTAAAAATATATAAATTACATCAATGTGGGCGTCAAACAAAAGGCATAAAAAAATTATTTGCTTTAAAAATATTTTCAAAGCTTGCCACCCGTTCAAAAAGTTAAAATTAATAAACAGCACTATTCTAGCGCCCTCAAAAAAATCACCATACTCATTATTGTCAGTTCTATCACTATTGTGAGGTTCACCCTATGCTGGCGCAAATACAAAACCTAAAAAGTTCACAATTGTAAGAAAATTTGTGAAGACCACATATGAACCTCACAAAGCAAAAACAACTGTTTTTTACCATCTTTTATTAAATTCTATGATTGTTTTAATTAATGTGAAAATAATGGAGGAGCTGCCATCGATTCGTGTTGTTCAAGGTCTTAAATGTCAGGAATAAGAGGTCCTCCGCGTGTCATATGCGGTTGCTCTTTGAGCCTGCGTGCATGACTGCGCAGCAACTAGTGTTTCCAATGCAATATTGACTAAACAGAATATATATAAGTAAGTATGTAAAAATAGGCATGCAAAATGTTTACACATCCACTTCCTTCCACTTGGCCACAGTTCGAGTAGGTCCTCGCATGGCATTTAGGGTTTCCGCCAATTGTGACCATAAATTTTGGTTGGCACTTTCCTCGCTGAAGCTCCGGGAAAGTTACGAAGTACTGCATTTGCTCCTGCGTTGTTATTTCGAGTTTGGATCACCTATAGAACAAATTAAATAAGTTATTACTACCGTCCCTAAATTGGCGCGTTAAGCGCCAAACAATTATCAAAAATCCTCATGCCCGTCAATTCGTATGTAGAATCCCTCAATAACCCGGCGCTAGCGCCGAGCAAATGGAATTTTCATTTGTTACGTGTTGAAGTTGGATGCAAAAGACGGGCTTAAGAAAGGTTTATTTTTAATTTATTTTTAAAGTGGGTTGCCACCTGTTTAGATACTAAAATTTAAATTAATTAACAAGTTAAACGTACATACCCTGCAGGGAGTGACGTTAGCTTATCCCTAACTTTAGTCTGTTTACGCGAACACTAGTGCTAACTATTAACTGTGTATTTTGTTCGAAAAAAGCTAACTACTTTTGTGGGGCGATGGCCGCAAAAAAGTCAGACCTGGATACCTCTGCATTACATGTCAACTAACTTGTAACTAACTACTTTTGGACATAAAATATCAATAAGAAAAACAAAATATTTTTTTGTTTTTTTACTTTTTTATTTACTTATTTATTTACTTTATTTTATTACATTTCATATTTGTTTACATATTCTGCTCTGGGTGGCCCCATATTCGAACACCGTCAGATATAACTTCAAAATGATAGTATAAAATTTCGATCTTCGTTTTATTTGTCCTGAATATGAAAAAAAGCTCCGAATTTCAGAAAAAATGTGTATTGAAAATAATTTTTGTATGAGGATATTTAATAGAAACTTGTAAAGAAAACCAACTCCCGATTGCGTCTGCATGACTCCTGCACGACTTTACAATTCACTTTAAGTTGGTTTTGTCATAGCTAATTAAAAGTGAGGTATTAATCGAAATCTCGCCAAAAAGCTAACTATAAGTTGGTTAGTTTTAACAATTGATAATTTTTCACCGCAGGGTATGTACGTATTTGTGTATAAAACAATAGAGGTTAATGTTATTGCTCACAAACCCGTATTGCTTTCTTCTTAAAACTTTTATTCATTTAACTTGGTGCGAAGAAAAGAAAAACATTAAGCAACTCTATTTCTACAACTAAATGGTTTTTAAGTAGTTGCACACTGTGCTGAAAATGGTCTGATTTTGTTACCTCGTCTTGACCATGGTTTAGGAATCATTTAATATTCAAAATTTTCGAGACACTCGAAGTACAAGGTGACGCAAAATTAATCCCCTTTCTTCTTAATCACTTCTTTCTTTGGGGCTGCTTGAAGTCGCGGGTTTATGCCAATAAGCCGCAGACAAACGCAGCCCTTAAGGAGAATATTCGACATCAAAGCGAACAGTTACCTTGCGGAGTCATGAAAAATGCGATAAAACGGGCACAAATGTGTATCAACACTGGTGGTAGCCACTTGACGGATATCATCTTTTCCACTTAACAGAAAATTTTTAAGGGTCCAAGTAAAGATTTCTATCACTTAAAATAACGTTTTATTTTTAATTTAGTAAAACAGTTATTCAAAAACAAAGTTGGAGGATTAATTTTGCGCCATCTTTAACATATAACTCTTAAAAAACTATTATTAAATTAAATATCGAGTCACTGACAACAATTCTGAAAAAGCAAATATTTCCTTAAAAAATTTAAGTTATATGTCTTTAAGGTATGTGACTAAAGTTCTGTCTCATTTCCATATGAACACACATAAGTACTTACGTATGTACATATTTACATATTTGCACACTCATGTGCTTATGTAAAACATGAAAATCACTGAAATGATTACCAATTTAAAACTTGACTACCTACCCTTAGAATTTTAAAACTAAAACGTTAACAACAAAATCAACAACATCCGGTTAATTGAATTAAATTGTTTCGCATATTGCAACCGCAATTGGGCAATTTAATGAAGAAAAAATTGCTTTTAGGGGTAAACTGAAGACGAGAGACATGCAAAGGATATTATTAGGCAATGAGGTGCTGAGTTAAAACTTGCCAACTTTGTATGTATGAACATATGTATGTGTGCGTGTATGTTTAGATGTGTTCGCGCATATGTTAATGCTACTATTGCAAAAATCACTTTTACCAAGGTGCCGACCGCTTTTGATACTTTTTTTTTAACTTATTGTTAAAGCTTTTATTTGCTTTCAATCACTTTTCGTCACGAAGCCGTCAACAAATACCAAAATGTAAATAAATAATGATGAAGCGCCAAAACAGCTTAAACGAGTTGTGCGGTAAGCAAAATTTCCGGTAAGGAGCCGGTAGTTGAACGTAGAGAATGAAAAAATTTAAATAACAGACGACGGTGATATCTACCCAAGGCAGTCAAAACAGCGAAATTGACAACGCTAACGACAATCACAAGCAGCAATGCCAGTTGCTGCTGGTGCAGGTGAGCTGTGACAGACAAGCTACGAAGTCAATCATTGCCCAATGAACATATGACCTTGAAGTCAAGTATTTAAGTAGGTACTACTGTTAAAGTATTTTCAACAAAAAAAGGAAATTATTTCCAATTGAAGATATGTATACTGATTTTCACTTTTTCCCTTAAACTTCTTAATGTCAATACGGTGCATGAGGACATAAGAGGGCTTAGCACCAGTTACTCAGCACGGTTAATTAACCATCCAAATTGGCTAGCGAGAGATCTTCTTAGGCCGGGATATGCAATAAGACTAAAAAGAAAGGTTTTTTTCGATACTATCAAATGATGCGCAATATAATAAACTTCGCTATCGGCAATATATCAATTTCCTGCTCGTAAACTTGTCCTTTCCGACCGAACACAGCCTACTGGATTGTAATTACTTAAATACAGAGAAGCAAAGGCGCACGGCTCGTTATCCAGCGATCCTGCTGCTCGGAATCTTGTCCATTCCAACAGCCGCAACAACTGCAATAAATATGTACTTAAAAAATAAAAAATTTATAATCATCGCCGCAGAAATTTTAAATTTAATGGTACTTTGTAAAATTTGAAAACTTATTGTTAGTTTCGAAAGAAAGATTCAATAAAGAAATAAATATTATAAAAAAAAACTTCATATTAAAGTCGTATTCTTATTAATTGATGCTATTTCGGCTTAAGCAAAGCACGCAGGTCGTTCGTCCTTCTCGTTAACTAGCCATTAGTAACACAGAGTGAAACTAAGCTCCTCTCCAACTGATATTTTCAACGCAGAGGAGTCCCTTCACCTACCCACAACAGATTTTCATTCGCCATATCAGACTTATTTTTCAGATTTATATAAATAACATATATAATATGTATACTATTTTTCTGGCAAATCTGTCTTATTAATTTAACCAATGGAATTATTTCATAGTTTCAAAAACTGGCATTTTTTGGCTCATTGGGTTACCATGTCAGCTATCGACAGCGGTGTGTAGATGAGTGGGCCTATGTAAGTATGCATGTGTGCTAGTATACTATTTTAAATATTTCATGTGATTTTGGGGGCTGTAGGGTGGGGATTGTGGTTGCGCTGTTGTCGTACTTTGGTGACAAATTGCACTTAATGACAGTAAATTGAAAATGATTGTACAATTGTCATACGAAAATCAAATAAAAAATAAAACCAACAAATAAATAACAGCAATAGACAATCGCCAATCGGCAATCGCTGTTACTTTCCATAACAATTTTCGTTTGCGATTTGTCGCCTAAATTAAAATTAATGGTGACCGCTGGAGCGTCGATAAAAAAATAATAATTTGATATCCATGTACATATGTAGGTGGTTATTTACTAGCACTAATATAAGTACATATAAGTACTGGCTATGAATTTTGCTACGTATTTGCATACATAGAGGCTAAAAATTTGGGGTATCTAGACTAAATAAGAATCCTTTACAAACAAAATTGTACATGACTAGGACTTGCAAAAATGTTTTTCTTTTATACAGGAGAAGGACCCGTTAACGTGTAAGTTTAAACCTAAGTAAAACTTCGTATCCCCTCCGGTTGAGCATAAGCTCGATCCTAGGCCCCTCTTCTAATACAGTCAGTCTCAAGTTACATTTACTTGGCAGTGTCCTCAGTTAGTCATCATTTAGGTGTAGGAGACTCGGAATAAACCCCGATATAATCAAAGCCAGTCTCTTTACAAAGAAGCACTGACTCTCCACAGTATCCTCGCTAATTTTTAGGGGTGTGAAGATTCCTAACACCCCGTATTAAACATTGGCTTTACACTCCTGTGGTCAGCTCGATCGTATTATATGAAATACTTGCTTGGTGGCATAAACTCAAATGTAAAAGTACCTAAAACTGCTGAGTAAAGTCATAAGAACAGCGTTTTAATGCATTTCATGTGCTTGAAGAACCACCCCAAACTAACACTTCTACTGTTAACCAATTTGGCAGCGTTTACCAGGAAAATATATAAGAAAGGGACGAAAGAACTGCTCAGCCCCCCCAAGAGAGGATATTGCGATGGTCACGCCTTGTGTATCCGGTCATTATCTGCTTGGTAGGCACTCTTCGAGACTTTAGTAATATTCTCTATTCCATAATCTGTATACTATTCTATATATATTCTATCCTATAGGAATATTCTCCGCCGATATAGCAAAAGTTGCAGCAAAGAGGAAGAAACCGTTGAGTACTTCTTGTGCAGTTGCTGAACTTTGGCCAGGAGCGGGCTGAACATACTGCTACACCAACCTTGGTGTCTTCAACCACCGCCACTTTCGATAAGTCCCCCCACACCTCATCTAATATATCTAGTCGAAAACTGATCTCCGACGTAATTACTATATCATTTACACAAATATATAATACCGGCTGCCGTATTAGTTTATCTTCGACTTGGTCGGTTGTGCTCTTGCCGTCTTAGCCTTGCCATGATGTTTTCCGCGACTATTTTGGCCGCAGGTTTCACAATGTTCAGCATCATTTAATTTACGGTACGTACGCTCTAAAGTAGCCGACATATTTCCTTGCAAGCCCTTTTCCTACGCTGGGTATAAGCCTTTAGGTCCATCGACCACGATTGCAGTGATCCCATTAGTATTGTCTCTGTAACATTGTGCGACGCCTTGGTAATAATTTCTAGGACTTTCCGTAGAGATCACCTTGGTTCGCAGTCTTTAAAACCTGAGGCGAAACAAATTGCATCCTCCGATAAGGTGCGAAATGCTGAACAGACTCTTAGGACGCGAAATCTGTGCACTGATCGGATTCCCTTAATACTTGTATGAAGGCGTGTAACATGCAGTTACCCAAACCTCTGAGCCGTAGAGAATAATGGACTTCAAGGACCAGCAAAGCTATTGCTTGAATTATACGTTTCGATGGCCCTCTTGTGTGGAGCACAGTGTTGCCGGTGTTGTTAAAAATCCTTCAAGTGATGATAAAATCTTCAAAAAAACCACAAAATGATTACTGAAATTGGGAAAAAATCTTTTTTTCTCTAGAAATGTTTTTATTGAAGATTTTATACCAAAAAAAAAACATAAGTTCTTTTTTAAATCTTTTTTCTTTGTTATACAAAACATATAACACATTTTATTTAAAAAACAAAAATTACAAATTCATGAATTCATAACAGGTTTACTTCCCTAGGTCACAAAACATACAAGTAGTTTTACTTGTATTTTTATAACTACACTGAGAAAAAAGTTAAATTATGTCAACTAAATATGTTTCTATCAACACAAGATTTGTCATGTGCTTAGAGTACTTGCCCGCGGGCAAAGCTCTTTTAAACTTTCCATACATTTTATATAGGCGCGTATTGAGTAAAAGCTCTCTCTGCGCATCACTGGTTTAGAGAGATATCTATATTTAGCTGACTTTTTTCTGAGTGTATTTACATATTATGCAAACATGGGAAATAACAAAAAGTTGCAAAGAACTATAAAAATATACAGGTACGACATATGTAACAATTTATACGTTTTTATCTATGTCTTGAAAGTTGTACTTTTAAAGTACTTTAATAAGTAATCTCACTCACGACCGTACTTTTTTAATAGTCCTTTGTATAAATAATACGACTTAAGGTAGGGGTTTCCATCTTCGCGAACTCAGCTTCGCTCAACTTCGACGTTATTATTACCACTTTTGAGACGAAAGTCTCAAAAAGAATCATTATAGTAACATAATCTTAATACATGGTAATAATATTAATAAAGAAAACCTGTCTTAGATTTGATAAAATAACTATACTGTTACGCACTAATTCTAATGCCAAATTTCTGAAATATACATATGTATATCGATAAATTAAGGAAAAGCACTGAGTTTAATCTACACAGCCCCACAAATGTTAGTCCAGCTCTGACTATAGGGCAGGACAAAGTGAGGCTCTCAGCCATGAAACGATGCCGTAATGCAGAGACACACTCTCTCTCTCTCTCTCTGATATTCTTTCGCGGTGGACGATCACTCCACAAAGTTCACTCAGAGGCAGATTCAAAGAGAGGATTTTGAAACTCCTACACAGCCGGCTGAACATAGTCGCGAAATTCATCGGGCACAACGGACCAAATACTAACCCGAAAGTGACAAGCTTCGTTATATTTTTATTTCAGAAAATGTAATAGCACCATTTCGCCAAAGAGACAACATTTATATATTTCTTCGTCGTTGTTCGTTTATCCGAATTTCTCCCTCTTCTACGAATAAAATTACAGCTATTGGCATTTGTTAGTTTTAGTTAAGCTTCATTTTTCGGACCACTCAAATTCAAGTTTGCCTCACAGTGCCTCGCTTACTTAGCTGGTGTTGAAAACAGTAATTTGCAAGCAATTTTCTATCTATTTGGCTGCAAAAAAGAAATATGAAAAGCTCCAAAGTAAATACATACGCGAAAGCTACCCAACGGGTTTTCAACGACCTACGCGCTGACCTCGTTGCATGCAAGTATTTGCATTTAACGAAATTGATTTCTATAACCTCCCACATTTTGGCTAATTTTGCGAGTAGCTGCTGAAATGTGAATTGTTAAATGTTGCCGTTGATGCACGTCATCAAAATTATAGCAAAATTGTGATGAACATGTTGATGTGCCATTTACCCGTACTAAAACGTTTCGTAATCCATTGAGTGTAATGGCGGATGCGCGTGTGTGTACATTGTGTTACAAGTACATTTGAGGCAACAAGCAATTTCACCAATCTTTAATGCGCACATAAACAGAAGCAGCACTTGAGCTGAAAGCCATTAAGTGATAGGCGAACTACATAGTGTTCTGTTTAGGAAGCCAGATTGTTATTGTAATTTGTCGATTAGCTTGCACCATATTTTTTTCAGTACATTTTTCACTTATTCATATTCAATATTGATTTGCTCAATTTTTCTATTAACATTCGAATATGTATGTAGCTTGTGCTGCTCTCAGTAGATATGAACAAAATGGATTTCACTTCCACTAATGCGCAATTAGAAAAATTGGAAAACGCATTTTCATTAGTGTTATCGCTGGCATTTTTAGATATGGAGCTACTTAAAGATATGTATACATATATACATATGTACATATATGGCAATTGTGTTGGCAACACGTGGCTCTCAAATAGGTAATTTATTCGATTATATGGAATGCCTTTGCAATATGTATTTGTTGTAACTTTTCATATTTTGGGAGATGTAACATTTGCGGGTTTTATTTAACAAAACCAAAAACAACGCTGAAAAGTTAAGGCAGAGAAAATTTAGGTATGCAGATATGTTAAAATTAAAATATGTGATCCTTAATTAACTGAAATATGTAATTTCATTTTCCCCAAATTTTCGATTCGTCAACCTAATCTTTTCTCTACGAAATAGAGCGTTAAAGCTCGGCCAAAGTCTCGTGACAGTTATTCAAATAAATATGAAGCATATCGACGTTTAAAGTAGAAAACCGCTTATCAAGAAAATGCAAAACTTCGTATGTGAAGTTGGCCAAATTTTATAGGAGAGAGTGAAACTTGTCTTATTTGAAAACGGTTCTCTCTTTTATCTCTAATAATTTCTTCTTATATCTAAGTATTGATATTATAAATGGATAAGGGCTTAATGCCACGCGCTTCCGGTGAGCAAATATATTTTTTGGCATAAATTTCTGAACCACGATACGCGGTTTTGTACTTTAAAGGACGATATGTTTATGTACATATGGAAGGCATAAAAGACCCCGCACAAGATTAGGTGCACTACGACTTCAAATGCAAGTGTTATTTTTCCAATTCTATAAGTTTTATGAGCTTTTTCATGAAAGTTGCGGTTTTCCCAGCGGAACTATAAAGTTTAATATACTAAGATTTACATGAGCTGGGCCGATTTGAATACAGCAAGAATAATTGCATTATTTTGACTCCGCTGATAAAATTTTTAAACATTTTTATGCAGAACTTTTAAGATTAAACTCTTTTATCATCTGATGTAAAAAGTGTTATTTTATACTAACTTTATTTATAAACAACTCGATTTTCACCTCGGTACAGCCTCGTAAATTTCAATATTTTACCGAAATATTTCGTGAAAGTCTTAAAGTTAAAAAAAAAAATATAATTCCGACGCAAAAACAGTACCGAAAAGCACGTGTCAAGTTTCAGTGAAATCGGTACAAGTTTATTACTTTATTCCAACATCTTCAATGGCAATCATAGGTGGAGAAATTTCGGTATTGCCTCCGGAAATATAGCACGTCTTGTTTGATACTGCGATCACCGAAGAGATATATTAATACAAGGTGTGCAATGCGGCCTTAAGGTCTACTAGAGGTGTATCTATGGCTGAGTGACAGAAACGGCTCAGAGTATTTGACCAAATACTTAAGTTGTGCAACTGAGCCTACATGAGTGTGTCAGTGCGCAAGTTATCCTTTGAGAGATTGAATAGAAGCTTGATGTATGTAGTTCTAATAGGCAGTGCCAGTGCTGCTATCCCATTTCTGTTTTTAATTTCTAAGCACATCGGGGTTTGGCCGCCGCTTCCTTGGTCAGTCTGTCCCCCATTTTATTTCTCTCTATCCCTTTTGAACGGGAACCCATAACACAAGGCTATAATGTTGTTGGTACGGCAAATGTCAAAACTGTTTTTGATAAACTTTTTTATGCTGATTTCGAATCGAAGTATAAAGTTTTCATCAGCTCCAGATTTTGAGAAAAACGAGGTAAAAGTGTCAAAAAATCGTTTGTTTTGTAATGTTTGAGAAGCTTTAGAAAAGGAGTAAAAGGTGATGGAACCTTTCACTTAGGCTTCTTCTCACTTTCTTCTCTGGACGATCATCACCTTAAATTTTTACAGATGCTCTTGCAGCAGTCCACCACTATTTAAAGCGACAGCGCAGAGCCGCAAAATTTACATAAGCCCTGATCCAATACTTTTCGTGTAAAATCCTGTAAAAATGTCAAACAGCAAAATTACTCCCTGAAGTGAGAGTAAAAAGTGAGTAACAACAAAAAGTACGGGAACAAAAAAAGCATTTTTCCTGTAAAAACGTTAATCAGTGATCGCTTGACACTTTTCATGATTTTGCCAGAAGAAAAAGTTCGGGTAAAATCTTGCAACTTCATTCTCTACACAACTCTCCAAAAATCGCTCTTATTTGCAGGATTTTGGAGGAATTTGGAGTATGGGATCTTTTTTCCTGTTGCTTCCTGCAAGTTCGTGGAAAAACCTGTAAGTTCACGTAGTACTGGATCAGAGCTAAAATTTAAACAATCTAGCAATTGCAAAAAGACAAAGGCACAAAAATCTTTGTATACACGCTTTTGTATGTACATATGTACATGTTACATTAGAGTGGTCCGAAAAAAAAATTTTCCGAAATATGGTTTGGGGCACCTTCCAAAATTGTTCCTTTTTTCGAAAGAAGGCCTGGCACCGATCTTTACGTTTCTAAGTATAAATTTTGAGGATGCCTTTGAAATGTTCATATTTTAATCTAGAAGTGTATGGTACAAATATTAACCAAACAATTGATTGAGCAACCTAAGATCACTTCAAATTTAAATAATCTATATATAAATTGGCACTCCTATTATGACGTGCACCTTGATGTTGTCACACGAAGGGGAGGGAGAAGCTGTTTTCATGGCAGAAATACACTCGGAGGTTTGCCATTGCCTACCGAGGGGCGACCTGTTTTTTGTTTTTTGATGTTGGGTTTTTTATTTTTGTCAGTTTTAAAGGGATTCAGTAGCGCATTTCAAGATCATAGAGCACCAAGCACTCTATTGATTACTGTAGAAAATTGAAAGTTGGTTTGATATTACAAATACCAAAAGGAAAAAAAACTAAGGGGTGCCCAATGTTTTACGATGATATCTTTCCCCCCCCATACAAAATTTGGACCACTATAATCTACATATGGAGATGAACAAAAAAACTATCATCGTTCTCGTTCAACCCAGAGTCGAGTTTCAGCATTGGCTGCGTTATGCTTGCAAATTTAATTAGCAAGATTTGCATATTTAGTTAGCAAGCCTTCTAAGCCTTTGCCTCAGCTAAAGCCAGAAAAGCAAAACTCTGAGAATTGTGTCAAGAGTTTCAATAATAGGTAAGGTAAACTGAGTGAAAAATAAACATCGTTGCTAAAGTTTTTCCCTGATTCAATCATTCCTGAGTCTTATGAATAATTACTAAGCAAATGCTTTTTCTTAAAATTTCAGACCTTTTACTCGATTTATTCAAACAAATTTAAGTAAAAAGTCTGAAATTTAAGAAAAGTCAATTGCTTAAGTTTTTATTCATAAAGCCCATTACCACTAAAATATTAATTATCCAATAATATACTTCAATATACTGCCTTCGAAATCATAAAAGCCGCAATCTCAATGGGCTTCCTAGGTACTACGATATTTTTATTATTAATTTTCTCATCTAATTTTTACACCAGGTGCCATATTCGAGATTCCTCCCGGGCCCGGATTTCGTCTCTACGGCCGTGCCTGTATCCAATTATCTTTTTATTCTCATATAAAAATTTTGAAATACCGTTAGTTTCTTCATGATCCCATGATTAGAACTAAACAAGTGATATGACAATGAATTATTCAAAACGGTTCACGTGGTACCCGGTAACACACATAAAAAAATATATTCCGATGAACTGATAACCTTCCTCCTTTTTTCGAAGTCGTTTAAAAAACCTTTGAACCAGAAACTATTCTCTCAATCAAAAGGAACTGCTAGTCTGTAAAAGTAAATTGCAGGCCGTTTTAATTTCGGTATTGCAAGGATACTCTTTTTCACTGAGGATTTTATTTGAATTTTCTAGCGCTATCCGATTCACCTTACAGCTACTAAATCTTATTTCTACCAAATTGTTGCTTCGTTTTTGTAAGAAGGAAAGTACTAACATACATTTATAAGTAAACATATAACTTATTCTCTTCCTCTGCGTCAATTTATTAAAAAGCAGAAAATTTTGATGCAAGTTTGCAGAATTTTCATAACTTTTGCACATAGCTTGAAATATGAATTTATATGTTTTTTGTAAGATAATGGGCTATATTTTTTTTAATAATCAATATTAAATAGACAAAAGACAAATGGAAAAACTTGTTTAAATGTCGTGTCCCTATTTATTTTTCCACCACTGTATATATGAAAAATTACACACAGGCGACACCTGTAGCCATTGAGGGTCCCACCTTTAAGCTATCGATGAAGTTTTTTTTTCATCGAGTGGAAATATCTACATTTTCTCTTGAACCTTGGACGTCAGGCTGAGCTACGCATATTTCCTTCGAAATTGCACTAAAAATTTACCGTACATTGCATGAAGAGTGCCGTTATTTTAAAACTGTCCACATTTTTTGTATCTACACAATTGCACAATGAAAACGCAATTTTTAGAATAAGTTTTCGTGTGGTCCAGCTC